CGCAACCTGTTGGACCGCTGCTGTCTCCTGTGTGTATTCGAGACTGGCACAGAGCCAAGGGTATGTATGCCTCCGAACCCGTTGGCCGTGTCACGAACGCTCTCCAGAAACCCTCACAACGGGGCAACGGGGCAACGGGGCAACAAAAAGGCCAGAGAGTTCGCCTCCTCCCATCGGCGGCCAAAGTCCAAGTGTGAAGGAAGGAAGCAAGCAAGCAAGCAGAAGCAACGTCCAGGTCCAAGTGAGTGAGTGAGTGAGTGAGCGTTCACGTGCCCCCCTGGCCCCCCCCCCCCCAAGAGAGAGCCCAGCCCCAGGGAAAAGACCTCTTCTCTTCCCTTACCGCCGCCCATCCCGCAAAAAGCCGTTGGCCGACACGTTCAGAGTCGCGTTGCCTTGCATGCAACCGAGCAGCAGCAGCCCCCCGGGGGACTTCAATTTCTCATCCTAACCTAGCCGGGCACCGGGCCAACGTCCGTCCAGCACTTCGACTCTCCTAGGAGCCTCCCTGCTGCCGCCTGGCAAATTGCGCCACTCTGCTCCCGGATTGCTGGTAAAAGGGACGGGTAGGGGTGGGGGGAGGGACTGTACGACGACGCCGAAACCCTTCTCGCTCCATCAGCCCAGAGAAAAGGAAGAAGCTTAGGCGATGTGAGCTTTTTCGAGCCGTGGGCATTTCGGAGACTCCCGCGATCCCGTGCCCCCCCCCCCCCCCCCCCGGGGCCCTTGGTGGGACTCCAGCGGCTACGCATCTTCTCGTCGGCAACCACAACCACGGGTTCTCGTCAGACGTGCGTTGCCTGCCTGCCTGCCTGCCCACTCATTTTTCGAGTGTCGCACTGCTCGCTAGGATGAAAAAAAAAAAGTGAGGGTTTTGTTTTTTTTGTGGTGTTTTGGATTCAACAGATGTCGACTTGAAACGGACAACTCTCATTGCGTTGCTCAGCCTGTGCGGGAATCGCTTGCTCGCAAGAATGGCAACATGATATATTGCAGGAAAAGACAGCAACCGCAGCAGCAAAAGAGTCAAACAGCGATGAAAGAACCGAGTTCTGGCCAGCCAGCCCCTTGTCGTTCGTTCTGAACTGCCGTACCATTCGTCAAGGTCATGTTGCTCGTGCGCCTGTGCTCCTCTCTGCTCGCCTATATTCCTCCGTCAAACAGATGGGTCCGGCTCTGGCACCCTTTGCGCCCCTCTCACTCTTCACATATACCGGCTCCCGTTCCCGTTGCCTAGTCCGGGGTCACCGAACAGGTCTTTGCCGTTCCCCGAGCTCGCGTATTGCATACTGCCTGAGCTCATGCTGTCGTTGCGCATGCTGTCGTTGCTCCCCATGCTGGGAGCCCATACCGGGAACCCGTCTGGTGGCTGACTCTCACCTTTCGGCTTACCTCGAGAGTACTCAGCAAGACTTCCGTTGATACCCGTCAAAGC